GGAAGTGGCGCTGTAGCTCAAGTGGTAGAGCGCTTGCCTTGAGCTGAAGAGCTGAGGGACAGCACCCAGGCCCAGAGTTCAAGCCCCACAACCGAAAAAAAAAAAAAAAAAGGCTCAGGGACAGCACCTTAACTCTGAGTTCAAGCCCCCACAAAAAAATAAAATAAAAAAAAATATTCTTTTTTTAAAACTGCCTCATAGATTGTGTGTTGGGGGGGGGGGTAGTCCTGGGGTTTGAACTCAAGGCCTGGGCACTATCCCTGAGCTTCTTTTGCTCAAGGCTAGCACTCTACCACTTTGAGCCATAGACCACTCTGGGTTTTTTGTGTGTATGTGTGATTCATGGAGATAAGAGTCTCATGAATTTTCCTACCCAGACTGGCTTTGAACTGCAATCTGCAGATCTCAGCCTCCTAAGTAGCTGGGATGATAGGTGATTGCTGGTGTCCGGCTCATGGACGTGTCCTGTCACTGACAATATTTGATGGTTGGATTACAGCTCAGTGACAAGGGGCTTACTTGGCATATGTGAGGCCCTAGGTTCCACTCCCAGAACCACAGGAGGGAAAAAGATATTTTAAGTGCATTGATTTAAATAAAAATGTATGATTAAAACTAAGTAATTAGGGCTGGGAATGTGTCTTAGTGGTAGAGTGCTTGCCTCTTTAGACAAAATAGCATGGCAAAGGTTCTTATTCCCAGGCTTGAAGGCCAGCCCCCAGTTTATCCTGTTGTCTGAAAGAAACCAAGTGGTGACCTCTAACAGTGGCAGCTACCCCATGTCTGCTTTACACTCATGAAACATCTGGAAGCCTGCGTGGGTACTCAGAGGGGCCACTGTGCCTCAGCAGCTAACTCACTGCAGTGCTTGGACCGAGCTGGCTTCCGTAAGTCACAGGTAGAGCACCTCGCATTCTGGGGAAACATCACATTATCAAATTCATAAACTTGAAGAAACAGTAATTCATCTGCTTTTGTGATGGTGCCTGCAAAAAGGATAAAGATCACTTTCAAACAGTGTAGTGCACTTGATGTTCACAATACCTGCCCAACGCAACACAACTGAAACAGCTACATTAAACATTTTAAGTCATTTACTTTTTGTTTTGTTTTTTGTCGGTTGTGGGGCTTGAACTCTGGGCTTGGGCACTGTCCCTCAGCTCTTCAGCTCAAGGCGAGTGCTCTAACACTTGAGCCACAGAGCCACTTCCAGTTTTCTGGTGGTTAATTGGAGATAAGAGTCTCACAGACTTTCCTGCCCAGGCTGGCTTTGAACCTCGAACCTCAGATCTCAGCCTCCAGAGTAGGTAGGATTATAGATGTGAGCCACTGGCACCCAGCTCTTCATTCTTTTATGGCTAAATAATATTCCATTGGATGAGATTATGACATTTATTCATTTTTCAGTTGATGGACATTTAGCACTTCAATCACCGAAAAGTTTAAAAATAAAAGGAAATAAAAAATAAAAGGGAATAAAATACCAATTATATGCCAAAAGTAAGTATAATCAATTAATATCAGGCAAAGAGACCTGAGTGAAAACAGCAGTAGCTGTGCTATACTATGAGAGAAACTCAATTTACCAGGAAGAGGTAACACTAACTCTAATCTTGAACATACCCACTAAGAATATGCATATATAAGACAGGTGCTGGTGGCTCACACCTGTAATCCTAGCTACTCAGGAGACTGAAATCTGAGGATTGAAGGTTGGAAAGCCAGCCGAGCAAGAAAGTTTGTGAGACTCTTAGCTTCAATTAAACACCAAGAAGCTGAAGTGGAGCTGCAGCTCAGTGGTACAACAATACCCTTGAGAGAAAAAGCTCGGACTGGAAGAAAAAAAAAAAAGAATATACAAATATACATTTCACTTTCAGAAGAAGTGAGGTACAAGCTACAAGAACTCTGAATGATAATAATGAAATCGATTGTTTTGTACAATTAATATACATTATTTTAAAAAAAGAACAGCTTCACATACCACTCTCAGGAAGTGATTGACAAAACAACTCATATGGATGTAAAAGATTACACATGAATAACTTGGTTAATGGACTTTTGGTTCTCTATACCCAAGAACTAGAAAACAAAACTGCAATCAAGCAAATAGAGATCACTTATAAAAACTGCAGTGCAAGTCTTAAAAATTGTTAAAGGAGAAATGGTATCATACTGACCATAGTTCTACGTGTATGTAATTAAGTCAAACTATCAAAAAGATAAAACTTGGGGTTAGGAAGGTGGCTCAGTGGTAGAGCACTTGCCTTGCATGCATGAGGCCCTGGGTTCGATTCCTCAGTACCACATAAGCAAAAAGAAAAAAAGCCAGAAGTGGCACTGTGGCTCAAGTGGGAGAGCGCTAGACTTGAGCTGAAGAGCTGAGGGACAGAGTTCAGGTCCCACGACCAGAACCCCCCCCCAAAAAAAAGATAAAACTTTAAAAAAAAGATTGAAGCTAGTCATATAACTCGAGAGCCTGGGAGGTAGATGGAGGAAGGGAGGTAGATGGAGGAATTCAAGGCCAGCCTGGGACACAGAGAAAGATTCTGCCTCAAAGCCGGGCACTGGTGGTTCACACCTGTAATCCTAGCTACTCAGGAGGCTGAGATCTGAGGATCGAGGTTCAAAGCCAGCCTAGGCAGGAAAGTCCGTGAAACTCTTATTTCCAATAAACCACCAGAAAACCGAAAGTGGTGCTGTGGCTCAAGTGGTAGAGCGCTCGCCTTGAGCTGAAGAACTGAGGGACAGCACTCAAGCCCAGAGTTCAAGCCCCACGACTGACAAAAAAATAAATACAAAAAAGAGATTCTGCCTCAAAAAATAAATAGCTAGGCATGGTGGCTTATGCCTATAATCCTAGGTAGTCAGGAGGCAGAGATGGGGGCTCATAGATGGGAGTCTAAACTAGACAAAAAGCTCATAAGACTCCTTTTCACCAGATAGCTAGGTATGGTGGACTGTCATCGTATATACAAGAAAGTAAAAACATGAAACCTTCTCCCAAAAATAACTAAAACAAAAAGGGCTCAAAGACAACAGAGCTTGCCTAGCAAGCATGAGGCCCTAAGGCCCTGAGTTCATACCCCAGTAATAGGTAAATTGTTGTGAATGTATGTATGTATCATGTATTGGAAGATACTAAATAGTGCTAAATAACCTATGGATCAAAAACTAGGAATATAAACATAAAACTAGGAAACACTTCAAAGTGAGAGATTGGGAAACATGGCACATGTACACTGCCAAGTACACTGCTTGTTCCCAGCACTCTCAGCAAGATGACAGAACTATCACCAACCTGTGACAAGCGCCTTGACTCACCAGGATTGGTTACACAAGTCAGGGTGAAGAAAACCAGGTTGACAATCAGCAAGAGATAGGGCAGAAGAAGGTAAGACAAAGAAAACTCCAGGTCTTGACAGTAGCCAAGGATTTCCCAGGTGTATTCCACATAAACTGTCCCTTGCAAGACCAGGTGCAGCACGATGAAGATGTGGTTGCTGGAAGGAAGCAAAGGGCCACTTATTCCCAAGGCCGCCCCATGAAGAAAGTACACAAAAGAAAGTAACCAAGGCAACCACTGCCACTAAGGAGTGAATAAGAAACCAATGAAACATTTCACAGGTATGTTACAGAGTATGTCTCAATACTTTCCCACTCTTTAAATATCTCCATTCAAAAGTAGACATTTCAAGCGGGCCCCAGTGGCTCTGGTGGCTCATGTCTATAATTCTAGCTACTCAGGAGGCTGAGATCTGAAGATCAAGATTCAAAGCCAGCCCAGGCAAGAAAATCTGTGAGACTCTTAATTCTAATTAACCACCAAAAAAGCCAGAAGTGGAGCTCTGGCCCACTAAGCACAAAAGCTTAGGGTCAGCACCTAGGCCCTGAGTTCAAGCTCCCACCCACCCCCCCACAAAAAAAAAAAAAAAAAAAAGACATTTCAAAACCCAGAGACCAATGGCAGACTGGCTCTTTGTGAGTGGAGGCCCCAAGCC